GGCCCTGCCCGCGCGCGCGCGCCCCTCGCCCGCAGACGGTGTGCGCGCACTTCCGCCAGGCGCCCATCCCAGCACAGCTGCGCGGCGTGCGCCGCTACCTGGACAGCGCGCTGCAGGAGAAGGAGTTCAAGTACACGTGTCCGCACAGCGCCGAGATCCTGGCGGCCTACCGGCCCGCCGTGCGCCCCCGCTAGCGCCCCGCCTCCGTCGCCGCCCCGCCCACTCATCTGCAGCCCTATAAAGCCATCTGCTCCGGTGAGCGTGTCTGCACACTCGCGGGACCAGAGGGCCCGCGATTTTCGCCACATTCAACCCCCCACCGTGGGATGCTCAGTTCCAGATGACAGCCCAGAATGACACAAACAGAGCCCAGTGGGCGGGGAGCGGCCCATCCCCTGACTTGACAGGGATGGTGGGACTGGATTGGGCACCCAAACCAGTCAGGCCAGGGTGGGGCAGCAGGATGGCCAAGGAGGGTGGGGAGCAGGGCACAGCCTGGGCACCTCGGGGCTCCAGGCCAGTGGGCGGGATGGCCCACATTCCTCAGCCCCACCCCAGGTGGCAAGTCCCCCCCACCCCCATCTCCCACAGGGCCTACTCAAGGCCATGCCCTGCTGGGTGAGGTCTGGAGGAGGCCGGGGTGGGTTCCCAGGCCACAGAGCAGAGTTCCAGCCTTGGGAGCCCTGGGCCACCAAGTCCGGCCCTCTTGCCTCTTGCACCAGGGGGCAAGCGCCTGACGCATCTGGACTGCAGGCTGAGGGAGGACCCCGGAACCCTGCCCCCAGTCAGTCCCCCGGAGCAGGAGCCTGGCCATAACCTCCACCTGAGGAAGCTGTTTATTTGACGGGAAGGGGCTCGAGAAGCACGTTTGCTCCACTGGGCGACAGGATGGGCAGGTGGACGTTGTGGGTTTTGGGGGGCCGCCCCTCCCCTCATGGGAAGATTCCCAGCAGGATCACGCTTTTTGCTGCACGCTCAGAGGTCGTCAAAATCTACACCACTGGCTGGTTTCTTACTGGGAGAAAAGAGGGGGTGACATTATGGAAATGTGGAGAGGGGGCAGGCCCAGGGCGGGCCCCTGGGTGCAGGAGGGAGGGGCAGTGGGTGGGCACCTCTTGAAGCCAGGGTTGATGAGGGACTCTCCAGGACACCGCCTTCTGGCCCCAGGCCCAGGGCCGCCTCTCTGGGGATCTGGGTCTGGGGGAAACGAGATGGGGGGCACCTGAATTCAGTAGGATCCCAGGGCTGCAACCCCCTCTCCACATAGATGGAGCCTCTCTGGAGCTTGAGGCTTGTTCTGGGAAAACCGAGTCATAGAGGAACAAGCACAGTCCCAGCTCATGTCATGGGTCACAGGCCTTACCTGGTAAGAACTGCTGAGGCCCCACCGGCCGAGTGCTCTTCCTGGAGCTGACGGCTCTCTCCTCCGCAGCTGGGGAAAGCAGGCAGGAATGGGAGCACGGGCGGAACGCCGCTAGTGAGGCTGTGAGGTGCCCCCACCCCCTCCCCCAATCCCACCTGCCAGCCGCTGCTCCAAGCTGCACACGCGCTCTGCCAGGCCCAGTGTCAGTGCCTGCAACCTGGAGGCTGCCTCTGGGCCTGGCACCTTGGAGAGGTCAAAGCCTAGTGCCGAGGGCCCCCCTGAAAGGCTTAGGGATGCTCCATCCTCCTGCAGGGTGAAAGTCACAGCTTGCTGCTCGCAGGCTGACCTGGGAAAGGACGGGTGCTGAGTGCCGTGGCCAGACCTACCCACTCCCCGCCCATCCTTCCTCCTGGCTCAGACCTCACCTGAACCGGGGGGTGATGTCCTCAGTTGCACTCAGGCCAAAACGGGCTTTCTATAGGGCACAGGGGCTGCTCACCATCTGTCTGAGACGCTAGAGCCACTAGCAACAACCCAAACCTGCCCGACCGGGAGCCACTAAGTAACCCAAGCCAACGTTAGGACTACAGCTACAGACCCCGGGGAAGGGTGCCCAGACCCTTCTGGGGAATCCCGGAACGGTCCCTTCGACCCCATGGGTGGTCCGCACTGCAAGTACTGGGTGGATACTGGGGACTTGCCAGGCCCGCCCAGGAGCCCTGTTACCCACGAGGGCCGCCAGGCTGTCCGGCGTGAAGCAGGTGCTCCAAAGCTCCACGGCGTCCGTCACACTGTGGGGGAGGGGCTGTCAGGCGGGACCGCCCGCGAAGCTGCCTGCGCCCCCAGCGTCCTGCGGACCCCGCTACTCACTAGAGGTTGAAGATGCCTTGGCCCTTGGCCCCAATTCCCTCCCCGTCGCAGTAGCACACAAAGCGCGGGGGTGCGGGGCGCGGCGGCAGCGTGCAGAGCGGTGGCGAGAGCGGCGGCGGTTGTACTGGAACCATAGCACCTGCG